TTCACCTTTTGAGTTGCCTTACTGACATAAATGAACATATGCACGATATTCTAATTTTTCGAGTTTCACCTGTAATGTAGGAAACATAAAAACTGTTCAGTCAGCAATCTGCTATCACCATGTGTGCTTTGCTTTTAGCAAAAATTTTTTTACTTATTTTATTTATTAGAGTTGTGTGTCACTAAATTTCCCAGGACTTACCCCTCCCTCCCAAAAAATTGAAACATCCACTGCAAAATATTAAAAGCAACAAAAGGCAACACTCAAAGCAAGATGGTAACAATCCATTATTTCCCCAAATGACTTCTGGAAGAGCTTTGTTTTAACCAACTTCTCGAAGGCAACCACAGAGGGGGCTAATCTTGCTTTCAGGGAAGGCTACTCCAGAATATTGGGGCCATTAGTGAGAAACAGCCTTTCCTAGCTCCAGGCCCCCTCACCTCAGAAGAATGGGGCACCACTAACAGTTTTTCCCAGGAGGAACACTTTGGATGGGTCAACTCTAGTTAGAGTTGATATAAAACACATTATAGGTTAAACCAACACCTGGAAACCTATTGGGAGTCAGTGCAGGAGCAGCAATGCAAGTGTTATATGCTCATGGCAACAAGCACAAGCTAAGAATTAGCTGAATTTTTCACCAAATGAGTGGTGATAATAGTGTGAGTCACCATAGCAAGGTCATCCTGTCCCAAGAAAGGCTGCAAGTGGTGCACCAGTGAAGAGGGGCAAGGGCAAACACCTTCCACCTAGGCATCCAATAGTAGGTATGAGTCCAGAAAGGCCTCCAAGTTGCAGTCCTACCACCTCAAGGATAATGCTTCCCGTTCAAGAGACACCACTTGATGAACAAACAGCAACTTTGTCTTGCTCAGGTTCAGTTTTAGCCTGTTTTGTCCATTCAGGCTCCAACAGCCTTCAGACATTGGGACAAGATTTCTGAATTGGATACTTACTTCTGATATATAAGTAAGTATTATCTGCATATTAATGGTATCTCACCTCAAATTGGCAGATGACATCTCCCAATACCGTCATGTAGATGTTAAGGAGCAGCAGGGAGAAGACCAAACCCTGTGTAGTACAAGATAGCCACCATGCTGACTCCTCTTTCCCCCATGACCACTAAGTGAAACTATCCTCTGAATAAGGAACAGAACCACTGCAAAATAGTGCCTTCAATCCACAACCCATAGGCAGTTCAAAAGGATACTATGGACCCTAGAGTCAGAGGCCGCTGAGAGGTCCAATAAGATTAGTAGGGCATTACCCCAATCTAGGTCCCAACAAAGCTCATCAACCAGAAGCAAAGCCATCTTGGCTCCAAGTCCATGTCTGAACCCTGAACGAAAAGAGTTCAGATGATTCACTTCTTTTAAAGCACCCTACAGCTAAATCCCCAATATATCACCTTCTCCCCAAAGAGTAGGTTGCGTATCGGGCATTAGCTATTGAGAACTGCTGGATCTAAAGAGGTTCATTCAGGGTGATGGAGCCAGCGCCTCCTTCAAGATGGAATTTCCTATCCTGAAACATTTATTACCTCATGGATTCAGCTCATCAACCGCACCACACCTTACCCCACCCCCGGCCTCACAAAGGAGCCATGAGGTCACCTTGGGAGAGTTTGTAGTCTCTCTATCTCTGTTGTTGTTATTTTTAAATTGATTATATCAAATTTCATCTGAACATGCCAGTATTTCCCATTTTGTTGACAATGGCCCCATTTTGGCTCTAATGCTATTAACACAATGGCCTAGAACATGCAGTTAACAAGAGAAAACATGCTGTGCCTAGGATCCACAGATAACCTTATCCATCAATAACTATCCAATTCCCCTTTGAGGCAGTTACTCTGTCTGGTTGAACAATTTCCAACATTTGACTATTTGAACAACAAAGACATTCCTTCTTTCATCTTTCTTAAATATCTTACTTTTTAGGACAGGGCTGGGCAACTTTCTTGAGGTGCATGAGAATAAAACTGAGGCATGACACCAGTGAAGCAGACAGGCCACCATTTTCAGACCCTTTGGGGGAGCTCAGTTGGGGATTAAGAGACTTATTTTTACTCCTTAAAACTGCCCAAAGAGAGAAAAATGGCCAGATATTTTGGGGGGGAGGGGGCAATTGTTTTTAAGAAGTAAAATGAGTATCTTAAGTCTCTGCATATAATTATTACATGTAATAATGAGATATTATTTATGAATAAGCTTAAAAACATCACTTCCAATAAAGCTATCTTAGAAGGTTCCATTGTCTACATTTCTCCATCGTGAGAAAAGATTATTTTGTCTATTCTTCCATACAAGGTTTTAAGAAGATATGTCTCTTTGTATTATGGAACATAACCCATAATTCTCAACATGCACAGGACTTTCATACCAGATGCATTGAGAAAGATATCTTGTCAGTTCCAAGTTCTGGAGGAGGTTTTGCCAAGATGTTTTGAACAGCCCTCCTGCTCCTCCCATACCCTTTTGAGTACAGCCTGCAGAACCCCAAGGAGAGAATAAAGTAAGCAAAAATTGCCGCTCCTTCTTTCCTGTCATTGTTCATTTTCTTAACTGTCTTGGAAACCCTCCATTCCCCCCCCCCTCAAGTAGAAGAACTTCAAACTACTGACTTCAGAGTAGGTTCAGTAGGAAATGTGGATAAAAACAGATGCCACGTACTTTGCTCTTGTGGGTGAAGCGACATGTAAAGAAGGCTCCAGAGTAGTGTGTTGGATGTAGTGTCTGTGCCTGCAATGAAAAGGTCTCCAATAATGAAAAACAGGTAGTCTTCATTAAAGCTACTTTCCCCATTGATCTTCTTTTCCTCATCTGAATGCAGGAGATACATATCAATGAAATCTCGAGGATACTGAGCATCCAGGCTTTCCCTGTGTTGTCTAATGATGTTCTTCAAGAAATCTGTGATATCCAGCACATTCTGCCTGAATTCTCGGAAAGCCCCAAAAGGAAGATAATATAGCCAAGGGCTGATGTTGACCAAGAGCATCTGACTATTCACGCTGCTCTCTAGCGCATGTGACATAAGCCTCAGCATGCGCTTGAACTGTGCATCGTCATAATCAAAGCGCCTACCGAAGATCATTGAGCAGATCACATTGGACACTGCATTGCCAATAATAGGGAAAGGATTGAATTGTTCCTTTCCATGTTTCAGGATCTCTTCTTTCACATACTTGAATTCCTCAATGATTTTAGGCTCCAAATTGTGCTTTCCTAATCCAAAGTGACGGAGAGTTGAGTGGGAAAACTTCCTTTGTTTTTTCCACACTGGGCCATAAGGTGCAAACACCAAACCTATATGGAGAAAAGAATATGAAGATATGAAATGGGGTTCCTTTGAATCCTTGGAAATCTTGTTTGCAGCTTCTTCCCCTCCAAAGGCTTGAAGACACAATGACTTTGAGCACAATAGTTTTACATCAGAGTTACACAGCCTAAGGTTCGCATGTGGGCCCCAAAAGAGATTTCCAAAAATTGTTGCCAAATTTCATTTTTTAAATGTGACAGAACAGAAATATGTTTACATATACTGTAAAGCTGGGGAATAATCATATTCAATTTTAATTACATGTAAATGAAATAAAATGCAGTTTATATCTGGGAGATACATGTTTATTTTTAGGAGTACACACCACTCCAAGACCAAGTGCCTCCTTTGGGTATGGAAAAATTGAGCAACCCTACTTTATGCAATGAAAAATAGAGCACAAATCTCACACCCAATCTTTCATTTCCTACAGAAGCATCACTGAGATTTATTAGGTTTTGGAAATGGAGGAACCTGCCTTACAGGTGTCAGATTACTCGCCCATCTAGCCAGCTACGTAAGTTCAGCAATCTCCTGCTCAATGGTGCTGTTTAAAATTTCATTTTTTCCAAAAGAGTCACCTTGAGATCTACCATAGAGTGTCTTGGGATCCTGAAATGCTCTGATAATACTTTGTCCTTGTATTGTGTCCATTAATTATTTTGCACAAAGTTTGTCCCATACGTAGAATGCAGAGGGGCGCTGCTGGCAGATAATGGCATGTATTATGTTAACGGAATAGTATGTGACTACACCTCTAATCCTGCAGGTGTATTTGTTGGGCCCTATGACGGTGCTGTTGGTGCAGTTGTGGGAGTAAGTAGGCATCTGAGTTTGTTGTTGAGATTTCTGAACTCACATAATCAAACGTTTTCAGGCAATCTCAGAAATTCTCAACAAACACAATAGGCTTTTAACACACTTCAACTGTTAATTGAGAAGGTACTTGTAATCTGCCTCACTTACATTCTGCATCGCATCGGCAGAACCATCCTTTCCCTTCCTTTCTCACCACCTCATCCCAATTTAAATCCTACATCAGTCTAACCACTCTATGCATCTGATGAAGTGAACACATATATCCTTTAATGTAATTGGTTAGTTGGAAAAGTGGTCCTAAACTTCTCCTAATTTACACGCCTCTTCCAATTTCAGTCATTTAAGCAAGCCTTCACTTACCTAGGTCCTGTTTCAGTGTCTCCCTCACGGTAAGTCTACACTGCAGGGGTGCTGTCGTGTTTACATGCCATGCAATTCTATTAATATTTAGTTAAAGGTCTGATCCTTCACCTCCTCAGAAAGTGTGCTTAGAGCGGATGCCTAAGACTCAGTTCACACATTATGCTAACTCGTTTTTAAACCATGATTTGTTGAACCAAGTCAGACATACCCAGAACCCTAAACCAAAAGCAGCTTCAGGCAAAGAGAGGCGGTGTCTCTTCCACCCGCGTGTCAAGGCCGCAGCTGCCAAGCTAAGGGCTGGGGAAGGGCCTTCCCGACAGGGAAGTCTCTCTGGGTCGAGGCATTCTGCCCCCAGGCCAGCAGGCTGAGCGCGCGCCAGCCGCCGGCAGGAGCTGGAAGGGTCGCTGATCAGAGCCTCGGCCCCCGGGCCGCCGTCCGCCCCGCTGCCCTGTTACCCTTCTTCCTGGTGACGATGGTCACGATGGGCACAGTGGGGCGGTCGCTGAAGACCTCGGACTGGGTGACCAGCGCGTCCCGGACGGTCTCGAAGTCGTTCAGCACGATCAGGTGGCGGCTGCCCAAGGCGATTCGGAAGATGCTGCCGTACATCTTGGCCAACCCGGTGAGCAGCAGATGCAGCGGCAGCGGCTCTGCACGCGCGCCCGGGCCGCAGCTCTCCTCGTCCTTGAGGGGCGGCAGGTCAAAGAGGGCGCCTGTCAGCCTTTTGGGCAGCAGGGCGAAGGCGAAGTTGCCCACCAGGGGCCAGCCCTTGGGGCCCGGGGGAAGTCGCTGCAGCGTCCGGCGGCCCAGCAGCCACCACAACGCCACCAGCAGCCCGGCGGTCGCAAGCATCGCCCACCTCGCGGTATCCGAGGTAAAAGGCGCCGGCGACGGCAGCGGCTCCTCAGCGCTGGCGCCCGCGGCCATCCTTTCCGACGCAAACGGCGAGCCCGGCAGCAGATCCAGCGCGGCGCCGGCGGGCAACCCGTCAGCGGGGTCCG